AGCCACCATGCCTCGCCCAGCCTAATTAAAAAAAAAAAAAAAAAATTACTATTTTAGAATTGGCCTAGCATGGTGGCTCACACCTGTAATCCCAGCACTGTGGGAGGCCGAGGCGGGCAGATCAGTTGAGGTCAGGAGTTGGAGACTAGCCTGACCAACATGGCAAAATCCTGTCTCTACTAAAAATACAAAAATTAGCCAGGTGTGGTGGTGGGTGCCTGTAATCCCAAGTACTCCGGAGGCTGAGGCAGGAGAATCGCTTGAACCTGGTAGGCAGAGGTTGCAGTAAGCTGAGATCTCGCCATTGCACTCCAGCCTGGGCAACAAAGTGAGAGACTCCATCTCAAAAAAAAACAAAACAAAACAAACAACAACAAAACCAAACAATTATTATTTTAGAATTATAAAAGAAAGTGAGGGCTAAAGAAAGGTCATAAAACAAGAAAGGATTGACCTGCATTTGAACTGAAGGGTGACTGCACACTGGTGCTCTTGGCTGTCCTGACGAGAGAACCAAGGGAAGCTCTGAGGGCTGAAGCCACCACCACCGTCACCACGGGATGAGCCCTGGACTCAGGCACAGGAAGATGAAGAGGAGCAGGTGAAGTTGTCAGAGGAGTTGGAGCAGAGCAGATTGACAGCTGAATGCTGGGAGGAGAATTCGCTGCATCTGATGCCCCAGGAGGCTTTTTTCTTGGTCCTTTTCTTCACATATTGGTTGTATCTGCCAAGAGGGTTGTTAGAGAGCTTCAGGGAGGAGCCTCCAGAGGATGTGTCCAGATGGGATTCTCCTGGGCTTCCTGGATCATTTGCGTGTGCACCTTGATGCGAAGAACGCTGTCAGGCAATGCTTGGAGAATTTGTGCATGCTTAAGAAATGAAGGGTGGGCATATAAAGTGAGGGACCGCTGTGGATTGGAAAGAGTGAGGCAGCAAGTCTGTGAAAGCAGCGTGGGAAGGCCAAGTAAAGTAAATCTTGAAGAATAAAGAAAAGGATGTTTATCAACAACTTGGAAGAGTAATTTTTAAGTAAATTAGAGTGAAATTTCCATGAAGTATTAATGAGGTTAGTTTGAGCAATTATTTTAAGCTAGCTAGCTTTCAGTGAGGGAAAGAAAATGTCAGCATTTTTCTGCCAGTTGTTCAGAAATTAAAGCTTTTTAGATGAAAATAGTGAATCATTTTTCTTGGCCAAAGATGACTTTTTAAAATTGCTCCCAGTTCCTTGATTTTAAAAGATGATGCTGTTTAGCTGGCCTGAGTGCATAAAGCTCACTTACTAGAAAAATACTCGCAGCATTTGGATAGAAGAATGCCGTTTCTCCTTTACTTAAAGGAAACCCTTAGCCTAAACCAACGGTTATTTGGTGTGGCTGCCTTCCTAGTTTTAATTTTTAATCGATCAGTTGGGGCCTTGAATTTTTTGTACATGTACTTATGAATTTCTTCTGTGCACGTGATAATATGATAAGTCTCAACGACAGCAGCATCTGTCCAGAGCCCCACCCCGCAGCCACTCATTGGTAGAGCCAGGATTTGAACTGAGGTCCACCTGACTCCAGTGCTTGATTTTTCTGTCTCATCACTCCCTTGACAAGAACTGTCAACAGAGAAGATGAAAACTTCTTACTGGAATCTACTAGGATATTTCAAGTCAGGTATGTAATCACTTCATGGTTTGGGGCATGGCACCAAATCTGTTGGACACATTTTGAACAAAGGACACATAAATAGGCTTTTAATATTTTTCTGCTTAAATAATAATTGGTGTCATTTGGTATAAGAATTACCATCGTCATCACCATCCTGCGAAATACCTCAGACTACTCCAGTGTGATTTTGTCCTCTACATTTAAAACGAGAAAATACTTATTCAATTTTTGATTCTTTGACCAAATTGTGTAGACAGCTGAGAGCAGGAAAGGGCCTTGCAGAGTCTTCCAGGTCAGCCTTCCTCTTGGATCCAGAGAAGTTAGAGGAACTAACCCAGGGCCCACAGCAAAGACAGAGGGAGCCAGGCGTGGCACCAAGGCAGAACTCCTCTCACCCTAGCATATGATGTTTTTCTTCAGATTGATCAAAATCTATCTCCTAGTTGAGAATGCCTCGATTTTTGGAAAAAACAATCACCTTACAGTTAGAATTTGCTTTCCATAGTTAATGCTTGAGGAGTACTGTTTTCTCCTTTTCTTCTTTGCCTATCCCCTTTCATACCCCCACCTCCAATTTACATGGAGAGAATTAATTTTTCTAGCCACCCAGAACAAGACCCCAGTGTGAAAGTGTAGTCAGGACTTCAAAATTAATGTGTCTACCGGCTAGGCGTGGTGGCTCACATCTTTAATCCCAGCACTTTGGGAGGCCGAGGCAGGCAGATCATCTGAGGTCGGGAGTTTTCAAGACCAGCCTGGCCAACATGGCAAAACCCTGTCTCTACTAAAAATATAAAAATTAGAAGGGCACGGTGGCATGTGCCTGTAATCCCAGCTACTTGGGAGGCTGAGGCAGGAGAATTTCTTGAACTCGGGAGGTGGAGGTTACAGTGAGCCAAGTTCACACCACTGCACTCTTAGCCTGGGCAACAGAGCAAGACTCCATCTCAGAAAATAAAAATAAAGATGTGTCTACCAATTTAATATTTATTTTTGAAAGGTGCCATATAAAAATGGGTTTATTTGCTGTGTTGGAGGAGATGCATTATCCAAGAATATTTATCTGAGGCATAATAGGAGTAATGGAGGCTGGGAGTGGTGGCTCACGCCTGTAGTCTCAGCACTTTGGGGGGCCGATGCAGGAGGATTGTATGAGGCCAAGAGTTTGAGACTAGCCTGGGAAACAGCCTTGCATTGTACTTAAAACTGTCTTTTATAAACTAACCTCCAGGCCAGACTTGATCCATGAAACATTGCACAGTTAGTCGTCTTAATATGAAAATATATAAACTTGTTGGATTTCCTTTTTAAATTCTGCTTAAGTAAATCTACAGTTTAAACCAATTATCCATTATTCTGTCAAAGCTGTAGAGTCATTTTTCCAATTTGGGGTAAAGGGCACAAAGGATCAAGAGCTGCCATCTCCCTAAAGCCACAGTAATTTAGTGAAATAATTTGCCCTTTCTCAGTCAAAGTGGAAGCCTCATGTTTTGGTGTGGTGGGGAGGGGAAGAGGGTCACTGAAAGCAGCCCAAGAGTGGTCTACTTATGTGCCAGGGGATCGCTCAGGCTCAGGCGCCTTTAAGAGGGGGACGTGGAATATAGAGCTTTCCATTTATTTGACCTGGGAAACAGGATCTTTTTCCAATTTTGAGAAATGTAAAAGGCTGTTGTGGCCCTTGATAGACATAAAAAGGAATGGTGATCAAGTGTGACACTTTGAGTCTGTGTTTAAGACTCAGTGTTGGTTTTCACTGTTTGGTGACTTACAGGGAAGCTGGCCAGGTTCGGAAATGTCTGTCCTGATCCGAGTGATCAGGCTCTCTCTGGCACTAGCAACCTAGGGCATTTCCCACAGTTGTGTGTGGTTCCTCCATGAGTAGTGTAGACTGGAACTTGTGAGACCTCCTCGTGACTAAAATGTCAAGATGCCATTTCATTTCTCACAGTAATTAAACCTCCATATGTCTTATGGCACAGCAGACATTTCTACCTTTATTCCCATTTCCAACAATGTAATTGATTCCCAAGCTCATGTTCTCTATCCTCTGGGCATTTCCTATGTATACGTGGCATTTTCACCTGTGCTGAATAAGACAAATGAAACTGGATTTTTCCTTCTTCCCAGATGTAGGTTATTTGTGGGTGGCGGGGGTTGGTGGAGGATGGGGTCTCACTCTGTTGCCCAGGCTGGAGTGCAGTGGTGTCATTCATGGCTCACCTTAGCCTTGATCTCCTGCGCTCAAGTGATTTTCCTATCTCAGCCTCCCAAGTCGCTGGGATGATGGGCACGTACCATCAAGCCCAGCTGATGTTTTAATTTTTAGTAGAGATGAGGGCTCTGAATGTTGCACAGGCTAGTCTCAAACTCCTGAGCTCAAGCTATTTACCCAGCTCCGTCCCAAAGTGCTGGGATTACAGGTGTGAGCCACTGCGCCTGCCTCAGCTGTATTCTCCATAAACCTGATTAACCAGCCCTTTTAAAGACTCCAGGACAAGGAATAGCTTCAGAACTTGGGCATGTGATTTGTTAACAATATTTTGTTTAAATTTTATTTTAAAAATTATTTTAAATTGAGGTTTGTGGTCGTATTAAAAATGGATCTTTCAAAACTTATGTTTAGTAGTTTTACCATGTATAATAATAGCATAGCATTTGTGTTGGTGAGTTGCCTTTATTTTAGAATTCTGCACGTAAGAAGTTAACAAACTTTCTTTTAGTTTTATCATGTGTTTGGGTGGCAGGTTCAATGCTAGGTACTAAGAATCGAGTGAACTAGATGCTTTTCCTTCCTGTAAGAAGTCTAATAGGATAGCGACTACATAAACAGAATTTAAATATTGTACAGCAATTAGTACAGAGGAAAATGTGTGTGTGGTATGTAGTGTGTATTTGGCTGAATAGGAGGCAAACACCAGAACTTTCCAGTCAACAAAACTATTGGATGTTATGTTTTGGCCAGGTGACATACTCTGTAAAATAACTGCGTGTGTCAGAATCCTCTCCCCATCTTTTTTTGGAGCAGGGTGATTAATGACTTAAAGTTTGAGTGCCATATTATAACACACCGTTAAATCCTTGTCACTTCCTGTGGTTCATGAATGGAAATCTGATGTCTCTGGATGGATGTTCTCTCCCAGTCAGTCCCAGCCTCTCCATGTGCTGTTCAAAAATTTGTTATTAGTTACTGAAGCTGTAACAGTTGATTAAGTTTGCCAGTGAGCTCTACTGAGTGTCATTTACTGCACTTCACAGCTGTGGTCTTAATGGATCGTGAAAGCAGAGCTGAGTCGGCAGTGTCTGGTGCTTGAGTAAAATTCTTCTAAAGTGAGTTAACTTGTATTTCAGATTGCTTCCAAGTATGATCATCAGGCAGAAGAAGATCTTCGCAATTGGATAGAAGAGGTGACAGGCATGAGCATTGGCACCAACTTCCAGCTGGGCTTAAAGGATGGCATCATCCTCTGCGAGTGAGTTACGGCCCTCCGTAGTCTGTTTCTGCTCTTCCAGTTCTTTCCACGGCTTCTTTCTTAATCTCCTCAGCCCAGGGAGTCACACCTTGATATTCTACAATACATTTATTGCTTTCCTTTACTGATGTTAAAGGGAGCAACTTGATATTTCAATCCTTGTTTTTGTGTGACCAGTAAATAAGATGTCTCATATTTTTGTTTTCAGACTCATAAACAAGCTACAGCCAGGCTCAGTGAAGAAGGTCAATGAGTCCTCGTTGAACTGGCCTCAGGTAATAGCCAAACCAACCACCTCTGGTTCTAGTGTGTTGCATTTTATGTAGTGAAAACTTGATTTCAGGTTTGGTGGGGTTTTTTGGTTTTTTGTTTTACCTTTTTTTTTTTTTTTTTTTTTTTTAAAAGATGGGGTTTCACTATGATGGCCAGGCTGGTCTTGAACTCCTGACCTCAGGTGATCCACCCACCTCGGCTTCCCAAAGTGCTAGGATTACAGGCGTGAGCCACCACGCCTGGCCTGTTTTACTTTTTTTTTTTTTTTTTTTTGAGACGGAGTTTCGCTCTTGTTACCCAGGCTGGAGTGCAATGGCGCGATCTCGGCTCACCGCAACCTCCGCCTCCCGGGTTCAGGCAATTCTCCTGCCTCAGCCTCCTGAGTAGCTGGGATTACAGGCACGTGCCACCATGCCCAGCTAATTTTTTTGTATTTTTAGTAGAGACAGGGTTTCACCATGTTGACCAGGATGGTCTCGATCTCTTGACCCCGCGATCTGCCCACCTCGGCCTCCCAAAGTGCTGGGATTACCGGCATGAGCCACCGCGCCCGGCCCTGTTTTACTTTTTGATTAGTTTTAAAATAGACATTGTAGCAGAAATTTGTACATATTTAATTTTTTTTTTTGCTTTTTTTAATGGTCCTATAATTACTTATTGAACTAGTTCTGTAATTATTACATTTAGCTTAGAAGTTTTCTTATATTTGGTCTGTGTATAGTCAGAAAGGACTTGACACAGCTTACACAGAGAAATGCAATCCAGACCTTAAGGATAAACAAGGGAAAAGGCAAGGCATTCCATATGACTCACGGTGGCCTGCAGAACACTGTATCAGACAGCATCTTAGTTCATGAATATGTATGAGTAAGGAAAATGGGGTACTTACTGGTCTTGAACATGTGTTTTGAGATATGAGAGAATGAGTATTTAGTAACCACAAATTTATTCTGAAATTAAAATGAAAACACATAATGCATTATTTATTAGTATGAGTAATTATATACCTTCTGACAAAGTTCCAGGCCTGGAAAGCTCTGATACAGAATTCTTTTAAAATATATAAGGAAGATCTTGCCCTTAAAACCTGAAAACACTTAACTGTTTAAAAATATTGAGACCGGCCGGGCGCGGTGGCTCAAGCCTGTAATCCCAGCACTTTGGGAGGCCGAGGCGGGTGGATCACGAGGTCAGGAGATCGAGACCATCCTGGTCAACATGGTGAAACCCCGTCTCTACTGAAAATACAAAACGTTAGCTGGGCATGGTGGCGTGTGCCTGTAATCCCAGCTACTCAGGAGGCTGAGGCAGGAGAATTGCCTGAACCCAGGAGGCGGAGGTTGCGGTGAGCCGAGATCGCGCCATTGCACTCCAGCCTGGGTAAGAAGAGCGAAACTCCATCTCAAAAAAGAAAAAACAAAAAACATAAAAATATTGAGACCATGATGTGACCCACAGTGAGAGACACACACTCTCTTCTTGCTCTTTCTGTTCTAGAGAGAGCTGTGCTTAGGATGGATTTGATTGAATCCTCATCAAGCAGCTTTCTGGGCGGCATCTTGTAACTCGTTATGAAGACTTAGAATTCTTAGAAATTATGAATGTCAATATTTAGCTCCAGATGTTATAAAACTCTTCTTCTTTACAGTTGGAGAATATTGGCAACTTTATTAAAGCTATTCAGGCTTATGGAATGAAGCCACATGACATATTTGAAGCAAATGATCTTTTTGAGAATGGAAACATGACCCAGGTTCAGACGACTCTGGTGGCTCTAGCAGGTCTGGTATGTACCTATCTTTAATGGCTGGTTAACAGATTCCCACGGCGTTGGTGATGAATTGCATCATTGCTTTCTCATGGGGGTTCGGATCAGGTGGGGCGGGGCCTGTCTCTTCTGTAATTATTAGCTTTGTGGCAAGGCTGCTGACATCAGCTGCCTGGTACTAGATAGCTTACTTAGAACACTCGTGTTTCAGATGACACAGTGTATTACTGAACAGCCTTAAATATTTTTCATCTCTACTTTGGGCCCCCTTCATCTATGGTCATATCATTTCTTTGTTATTCCTCTTGTGAAACTGTGTTGTGTGCATGTTTTTCAGTTAGTGTGCATGTTTCTGTCTAGGCTAAAACAAAAGGATTCCATACAACCATTGACATTGGAGTTAAGTATGCAGAAAAACAGACAAGACGTTTTGATGAAGGAAAATTAAAAGCTGGCCAAAGTGTAATTGGTCTGCAGGTAAGTAATGTGGTGTTGCTTATTCAGTTACTTATTCAGTATGAATAATTCTTACCATGCAAAATATTACGCCTCTCCTAAGTAAAGAATAGATAGAAGTAATATAGTACTGGAGTGTGTTTAGTTTATATAATTTACATGGATTTAAAGCCCATAAGACAGTAATTTTTAGAGGAAACCTCAGGTATGCCACCTGACTTGACAGTTATTTCCCCCAGGAAATAAAAATTTTTATTTGAATCATATTGTCTATTTCTTTAAAATAAAAATGTACTTTTAAATTTTTTATTTTATCTTTTTTTTCCCCCCAAGATGGAGTCTCGCTCTGCCACCCAGGCTAGAGTGCAGTGGTGCGATTTTGGCTTATGGTGCTTCCTAGATTCAAGTGATTCTTCTGCCTCAGCCTCCCAAGTAGCTAGGATTATAGGCATGAGCCACCACACCCAGCTAAGTTTGTATTTTTAGTAAAGACCAGCCTGGCCAACATGGCGAAACCCCATGTTGACCAGGCTGGACTTAACTCCTGACCTCAGGTGATCCACCCCGCCTTGGCCTCCCAAAGTGATAGGATTACAGGGGTGAGCCACCCAGCCTATTTTATCTTTTATGTGTAGATGGGATCTCACTTTGTTGTCCAGGATAGTCTCAAACTCCTGTGCTCAAGCAATTTTCCTGCCTTTGCCTCCCAAAGTGCTGAGATTACAGGCGTGCACCACCACATCCAGCCAGAAAATGCACTTTATAAATTCCTTAATGTTACTGACCAAACGAGGCAATTTTACAAAACCTTAAGGCCAAAGTCACTTATTTACAGTACTAAAGCACGATAGAGCAGCCAAGCCCTGTTAGAATTTGTCAGTTTAAATTCTTCTGACATACGTAGTTGAGATGTTTTCCTTCCCTTCATTGTTCCCCTGGAGAGTGTCATGGAAACATCATTGCTCATGTCCTAAATGCTGTTGGCTTTCCTCTCCAATACCTGCGTGATACAATGCCCCTCTCTTGACTGAGTCTTTGTAAGCTGGATTTATTTTTACACAGTACAAAATTGTATTGGTGAAACTGGAAACCTGCATTTCAGAACAACAGTTGGTTGAATTACAACTCCATAAAAGCAAAATGGAATGTAAAATTATAGAGTAGAGTTTGAAAAGAGAGGTTATGGGGGCAAATCAGATCATCCAAAATCAAGTCAGCATGGATTTTTAAATTAAAAATGCACGTACATGTTTTTGTATGTATATGTAGATATGTATGTGCATCTATAGATACATACATAGACACATCGGTAAAAAAGCTGAAAGGGTAATTCACAAATGCTGACAATGAATGGATGGTGGTAACACAATGATTTTTGTCCCCATCCTTTTCGTTCATATGTGTTTTCTGAATTTTTTTCCACTGAACAGATTTTATATTTAGTAATAAAGATTTTCTTTAATCTTATTTTTAAAGAAAAGAGACTCAACATCAGGAAAGTGTTTCTAACCAGTGAAACAGGATGTAATGGTCAGTCCTGAAGCCGTACTATTCTCAGTGGGGAAGAAAAGTTCATTGTTTCCCTGAACTTTGCCGAGTTCAGATTCCTCATTCCACCTTTCTCCAGCTCTGTCCAAGGACATAGCAGTTGCAGGAATAAAATGTGGTTCCTTTCTGGTGAAAATGTCGGCGATTTTGAAACTTAAAGAAGCCCTTGTTACACTCCCAGAGAAGATACCTGGCATTTGCTTTCACATTTTATGTAAAACGTTCCGGGAGTAGAACAGCATATTGCTTGGCCTAGGATTGCTTCTGTTTAAATGACTGAAGCTGGTGCCTCTTAATTTGGTTATCTGGGGAAAGAGTAGCAGAGGATATTATTCTGCCACTGTAATGACTTTAGTGTGTCAGTCCACCTGTTCAAGTGTGTTGAATTGTGCTTCGTGTGAGGTTTTATGTATAGTGGATGCCTTCAAAATTTTCTTTTTAAAGTTAGCACTTGAAATTTGTTTGTAAATGCGTACAAGAGTTGGCTGGAGCCTCAGCTCAGTACCTTGTCAGTCGTGCCGTTCCGTCTTTTTAGTAGCATGGAAAGTTTTGTTTGTGTTGTATATATTGTTGACATCTGATAATTAGTGGAATTTTATTTTTAACCCAAAAGATGGGAACCAACAAATGTGCCAGCCAGGCAGGTATGACAGCTTATGGGACCAGGAGGCATCTTTATGATCCCAAAATGCAAACCGACAAACCTTTTGACCAGACCACAATTAGTCTGCAGATGGGCACTAACAAAGGAGCCAGCCAGGTAAGCAATACCTTTTTATTTGTGCAAGAGTACACTTAATTTATTCTTATTAACAAAAAGTTTAAAGTAGGCATTTTTTGTATAATTTATTTAGAGTGTATTTCTTTGGGAATGTGAACTTTGCTGGGAAAGCAAAAGAATCAAAAGACCTTTTCGATAGCAGCAGAAGTATGATGTGTCTCATGGTTTTTGTTGGCAGTTAGAACAGCTGGCCTTTCTACCTAGCCAGAAGAAAAAAAGAAATGTTTATTATAGTTTTCTTGCTCCAAAGTCCAAGTAAAATATTGCTCATTTAAATGCTGACTTTTTTTTTTTTTTTTTTAAGGAGCTCTTAATTAATAGGTAAAATTATCTGGTGTTCCACTTAGAAGGATTTAACTGGCATTCCTATTAGATGTGTCAATATAAACAGATGGAAATGCAACATGGTGAAAATACCAGTATACCACATCTAAGATAGATATATTTCCTTGTTAAAAATAGGTCACCAGCACCTCAGAAGGAAGCTCTAACAACCATTTGAGAACAGACAGGTCCCACATCCACCAACAGTGGGGATAGGGTTTGAAAAACATTTTCTTAGTGAGTCCAGGTGAGATTTATCACTTTGCCCTTCATGGAACACACATCCTGCCAGGTGTGGCATTACAGCTGTCATAGCTGCCACTCACGTTTGCTTTTCTACCTACTTTGAACCTGGAAGTATGTGCCTGATGTAAGTAGAGAGATGAAGTATGAGTTACTGTACTCTGAAGAAAGAGGCGAGTGGCTGTGAAGTGGCTGGCTCTTCTGTATCTTAGGCTTTTGGAAAGACTCAAGTCCTTAGGATCTGCTCAACATAGTTTTTGTTGAATATAATTAGAAGCTTTTGAAATTGGTAACCCGGATAATGTATGTGGTCCCCATGGGCATTCACATGGAACTTTCATGTGTCGGAGCATTACGCTTTCACATTCTTTATGTCTCATCCTCTCCCAAATCCAGAGTAGGTAGTAATGTCTCCATTTTGCATTTGAGAAACGTAAAACTAAATTTACTTGAGGCCACACAGTAATTTTACAGGAGGGCAAGGATTTGAAGAAAGGTCTGAGCTGGCTCAAAAGTCAATGAATATTGCTTCATGGAAGTGATTTGATATCAGGATATTTTGGTTAAGCTAGCTTTTTCTTGTATTACTATTCATATTCAATGTGAATTCTATAACTTATAAATTATTCGTGAGAATAGATTCCAGCTGCTGTTTTAACTTTTATACTGTGTTCTAATACCAGGCAGGGATGTTAGCACCAGGAACCAGAAGAGATATCTACGATCAGAAGCTAACATTACAGCCAGTGGACAACTCGACAATTTCTCTACAGATGGGTACCAACAAAGTTGCTTCCCAGAAAGGAATGAGTGTGTATGGGCTTGGGCGGCAAGTATACGATCCCAAATACTGTGCTGCTCCGACAGAACCTGTCATTCACAACGGAAGCCAAGGAACAGGAACAAATGGTTCGGAAATCAGTGATAGTGATTACCAGGCAGAATACCCTGATGAGTATCATGGCGAGTACCAGGATGACTACCCCAGAGATTACCCATATAGCGACCAAGGCATTGATTATTAGATCCACACGGAAGGAGCTCAGTATTTAGTCCATTGTTTTTATTCAGTGAGAACCAAGCTAGCCTTGAGTAATTTTTATCTTGTCTTCCTAAAACACTATCAAGCTTATTGTACTTTTAAGAAAAATTGCCTTACATACATTCCTTTTTCCTTTTTCTGCCTCTTCCCTCAATAGTTGCCTTTTAGTGCTGTAATAGATAAATCCTACAGCATAACCAATAACTTGCATATGAAGTAAAAAGGAATACTGTGAAAGGGGAATACTCTTGTACAGCCAGTTCTTTTATGCAAAAATCTATGCATTTTTACAATCTTACATTAAACTGGTATTTTCAAACAATAGGAAATTCTTATTTTTTTTTACAGTTTAGTGTATCTGGTTTCTACATGGAAGACTAAACTCATGCTTATTGCTAAATGTGGTCTTTGCCAACTAAATCTAAGATGCAGCATTTTTAGAAAATTACATATCAATGTTTCTACAGTATTGTTTGCTAATTTTTAAATAAAGTCATGATCAGTGTGCATTTGTGATTATATGTGTACTCATTTTCTTACCTAGCAGACAAGATCTTTACAGAGTGGTGTTTCTAAAGAAGCATGTACAAAAATGGCCTGTAGACACTTAGGTCTGGGTGGTGCATTTGCCCTTCCTGTTTGTGCCAATGTATCAATGTAGAGTTGCTCTGTTTTCTTCAACTGTATTTATTGCTGCATTTCTCAGCAAAACTTATCCCATTGTATTTTTTATAAATAAATATTTTTTTTTTGAACATTTATATGAACCGCAGGCTGATTATTTTCTAGCTAGTTTCTAGGTAGGTAGGGTCAGATTTTTTTTTAAGTACCTTTTTCCTAGGTACTGTTGCAAGCTACATTAACATTTAATCCACACAATACTGCATTCTATGCTTAAGGAGATTGAGGCTTAGGAAAATGTAGGGACTGGCTAATTACACATAGTAAATTATAGCATTCAAATCATTATCTGACCCTTGCTTATTTCACTGTGACTTGGCTGGCCCAGAATCATCTTAAATTCAACTTGGAGTAAATCTTTTTCTTTTTTTTTTTCCTTTTTTTTTTTTTTTTTTTTTTGGAGACGGAGTTTCGCTCTTGTTACCCAAGCTGGAGTGCAATGGTGCGATCTCGGCTCACCGCAACCTCCGTCTCCTTGGTTCAAGCAATTCTCCTGCCTCTGCCTCCCGAGTAGCTGGGACTACAGGTGTGTGCCACCATGCCCAGCTAATTTTTGTGCTCCGTGCCCGGCCTGGAGTAAATCTTAAACTTTAGGAGGCCAGGTGCGGTGGCTAACGCCTGTAATCCCAGCACTTTGGGAGGCCGAGGCGGGTGGATCACGAGGTCAAGAGATCGACACCAGCCTGGTCAACATGGTGAAACCCCGTCTCTACTAAAAATACAAAAAATTAGCTGGGCATGGTGGCGCGTGCCTGTAATCCCAGCTACTCAGGAGGCTGAGGCAGGAGAATTGCCTGAACCCAGGAGGCGGAGGTTGCGGTGAGCCGAGATCGCGCCATTGCACTCCAGCCACTTCAACAAGAGTGAAACTCCATCTCAAAAAAAAAAAAAAAAAAAAACCAAACAAAACAAACTTTAGGAATATTGATAGGAGCGGTGGGGAATTATCCTATTTTAGGATAAATATGAATAAGAAACATGCTAGCTCAGCCATAGGATGTGCTGCTTGATAATAAGCCAGGGTTTATATAGAAACATAAACCTTCAGTCCCGACAGAGGGAAGAACAATAGCTAGGTGGCAGAGTGACAAAAATGCAGTCACTAAAAATTAACTGACTTTCTGACATTGTCACAGCCAAGCCATGTCTTCTGATAGGACTGGCTCTATTCGGTCTGGGGGCAAAACCTGCCAGTTTTTTGTGGAGGGAGATGAGGATATCCACATGGTTTCATGAGTCCACAAAAGTGAAGCTTATTTGCTCATGATTCCACAATGTCTAGGTTTAATGCTTCTGGGAAACCACTTGTAAATGAAACTATTGGAGTCAACCCAATTCAATGGTGGCATTTAAGAAAAAAGTCATTGCATTTAAAGTAGACCTGAGCTCTCAGGCTGTCCTTGTCATCTTTGAAGAGGTGTTTAGGGAAGGGAAGCCTCCTATCGTACTGTCTGCCCTGCCATTTAAGTCGGATCGAGTCTCATGAGGCTGCCAATCAGCATGTTAAAATGTTCCTATTTGCTTAGAATTTTAGAAAGGAAAATCTCTTCCCCTCACTCCCATCTACGGAAATCTCTGAGGTCCAGGCAGAAGTATTTTAAAAAACTTACCTCCAGGTAATTCTCAGGTGGGGCTGTGGTTGAAAACCTCTTCTTCCAGAATGTCTACTGTCAGGGTGCCTTGGGTATCAGGAGTTCTGAGATACACAGTGTGTGCCATCATGGAATGTGATGTGGTGGAGAGATAGGACAAGTGGATTCACAGCTTTACCAGAAGAGCAGGGAGGAAAAGGACGGAAGAGAGGGTAAGTAATGCTGCTCAGAGGCACTGCAGAAGCCCGGTGCTATTGCAGCTGGATTCTGAAGAATAGGAGTTTGCCATTAGCAAAGAGCTGGAAGAGTATTCGGAAAAAAAAGGAAGAGCACGTGCACACCTAAATCACTGGTTACACTCCTGACTCTTGTACGTGCCCAGCTCAGGTGTCAACTCATGTTAGGGTTTAAACTTCTGGCTTCTGTCACTAAATCTAAGAATTACACGTTGAAAAGTTAACCCATTTATCATATTTCCAGGATTGGATGAGTAGGGACATGTCCACTGTATAATAGCAACGTTCCAAGCTGGGTATGGTGGCATCCCTATAGTCCCAGCTACTTAAGAGGCTGAGGCAGGAGGATCACTTGAGCCTAGGAGTTGGAGGCCGCAGTGAGCTATGATGGCACCTGTGCATAGCCACTGTACTCCAACCTTGGCTACATAGTGAGACGCTGCCCCTTTAAAAAAATTCCAGAGATTTCTGCTAACAAAATCCTTATCTTAAAAAGGCTTGTTTATTGGTTGTGCACTTAGAAACTTACCTCAATTCTTATATAGTATACTTTTAAAATGGATGCATATAAACATGGTTTTAAAAGAGTGTTTCTGTCCTAATTTGTAGCAAAAAAGATTGTAAACTTCCATGGTTCCAGTATTGTTACCAGGTCAAACAATTACAAAGAAAAAGAAGAAGAATAGGGTTTATTAGGTCTTTAAAAAACAAATTCCATTAGCTTTTCTCTAGTGATCTTGTCTTCTGTAAATGGCTCTTAAAAGGAAACTTTTTCCAGGTGCAAATACCTCATGGTTACCTATCTCACAACGGCCTGGAGTTCTGTTTCCTCCTCATTCCTTAACGAGGCCTCGCCTTGCCGGGCCCTTACATTGTTTAATTTGTTGCTTCTTTTTACAAAACTCTGAAAAATAAAAGAACAAGTTAGATTAGTATTCTTTGTCTGCACTGTTGGTAATGTAGGGGCCAAGGGGAAACTTCTCCTTTGCCCTCGGAAGGTCTGCTGAAGAAGGAACTTACAAAAGGCAGATTAACAGGAGAAATGGCGTATCAAATTAGCACGAACAGGGGAGAATCACAGAATGATTGTGTAACCATGAAATTCGGTACAGATCTATATTTGTTTTGAGGAAAGGGAGATGGGGAAGTTTGGATGATTTTATGGGGGTGTAAATGACTTAGGGGAATTTAATCGGCTTGAAAAACACTTAATGGCCTGGGACAGAATATATTAGGCCCGCAGAACAGACAGTGGTTTGTGACAAAAGTCTGCCCAAGTGTGTTGACCAACTTTAGTCTTTGTTTCTGCTATATGAGTCCAGTTAATGGAAAACTCAGGGAAGGGGCCAGAGGTTGTCTTTTTCTTTTTGTGGGTCTGGACTTCAGTAGGCAGATAAGGGAACTTCATTCAGATGACAGCTTTATCCTGTGCTTTGGGAGAAGGTCGGGGAGACCCTGAGGCTTCTTCAGTTCAGCGTGTCAAAGTGCCACAGTCTGGAGTATTGGTTTCTGAGTCCCAATGATAACCATTTACAAGGAGTTCTTGGCCTGAAATTTCAGAGAATTGAATCCTTAAGAAAGTTTCTCCTGTTGAAACAACTATTTTAGGGGGTAAATTTCAGGGGGATTTTTTTTTTCTTTTTGAGACAAAGTCTCTGTTGCCCAGGCTGGAATGCAGTGGTGCAATCTCGGCTTACTGCAACCTCTGCCTCCCGTTTATTTCAGGCATGAACCACAGTACCCGGACTTCATGGTGGATTTTTAACTGGAAAAGTAAATCGGGGAATGGAGACCTGGCTAGCTTCATACCACCATCATAAACACTTTCCTTAGAGTACATACAAATAAGTCAATAAACAAAAGTAAAAATTGTATTTTGGCAGGGTGTGGTGGCTCACACCTGTAATCCCAGCACTTTGGGAGCCTGAGATGGTGAATCATCTGAGGTCAGGAGTTCGAGACCAGTCTGACCAACATGGTGAAACCCTGTCTCTACTAAAAATACAAAATTAGCCAGGTGTGGTGGCTCACGCCTGTAATCCCAGCTACTCAGAAGGCTGAGGCAGGAGAATCGCTTGAACCTAGGAGGCAGAGGTTGCAGTGAGCCAAGATTGCACCATTGCCCTCCAGCTGGGGCAACGAGCAAAACTCTGTCTCAGGAAAAAAAAAAAAGTAAAAATAGTGTTTTTATGTTTTATATGGAGAAGGATGAGGATACATTCATTATAAACTGTAGAAGTGGTTGTTAAAAATGAGTCCTGGCTGAACTAAAGAGTGCATTGAAGGCTGGGCACAGTGGCTCAAGCCTGTAATCCCAGCACTTTGGGAGGCCAAGACGGGTGGATCACGAGGTCAAGAGATCGAGACCATCCTGGTCAACATGGTGAAACCCCGTCTCTACTAAAAATACAAAAATTAGCTGGGTATGGTGGCGCACGCCTGTAGTCCCAGCTACTTGGGAGGCTGAGGCAGGAGAATTGGTTGAACCCAGGAGACGGAGGTTGCAGTGAGCCAAGATCGCACCATTCCACTCCAGCCTGGGTAAACTCTGTCTCAGGAAAAAAAAAAAAAAAAAAAAAAAGAGTGCATTGAATGCTCTATTTAAAGGTAAAAGGGCTTTAACACCTAATTTTTATGGCAACAGAATGAAAGAAAAGTATGAAAATACCGTATAACTCAGACAAGGAAAAGAGTTGAGACATCATTCAGCTGTTAAAATATCCCTGTCTACCCAGGATAAGGCAAATAAGCAACAACCGTGTGGCAAAGGCTGTTGAAAACAGGTGCCTGCTATTTCCAGATAGAAGCAGTATGGGCACTCTGCTGAGGGCGTGGCTTTTTTCACCCTGTTGTGCCTGGGCTAATAAAGGGCCTGAGAATTGCAGATCTGTCAATACTGGCACAGAAGAGCACACAAGTGTGCTCTCCCTAACATGCTGGGTATAAACATATGCTTGGAGATGCAAAAATGCTTTAGTAAAAGATCAACTGTTAAACTTCTGGACCACCCAAAAGGCCAGACCATGCCAATAGCACCAGAGGGACCTGAACTGTGTTCAGGACACCTTCTGCCCAAGGTCAGAAGTGCTGCTGCTACTTAGGAATCCATCTGATCAGCATTCTGTTCAGCTTCACTTCCCCAGGGGGAAGGTTCTCAGTAAGCGAGGTGGGTTCAGCCTTGGAGAGTTGAGCCCAAATCCCGCTTTCAGGACTTTCAGGCCCTGGGGTAGCAGAAGCCTCAGAGCCCTCTGGAAGAGAGAGGCTGGGTATGAGCCTCCTTTGTGTGTGTGTCTTTATGAAACTTTTGAGATTATGAGCATGGAGACTGCAATCAGAAATGAAATGTTTGCTTACCAGAAATTCTTGGTCCATAAAGTAGGGCTTTTCTGACGATCCATCATTTGTTTCCAGATCAACAGTAAAACACAGGAAAAGGGCATCCAGCACAGTTTCAAACACAGATAAAAAACTATGAGCTACTAAGTAAGCAAAAAAGGCTACCAGTAACAGAGGGACTGCCCACACCTGGAATGCACGGTTGTAGTTAAAAGCCATGAGTCCTCCAAAAACAGTGAAACACACCACTAGCACCTGTTCAAAACAAGAGTTTGTTGAAAATCTTTATGGATCAGTTGCTTAGAAAAATTTTTGTCAGTTACAAGTAATGATTTGATACATGTTCACGTGTGCAATGTGTGAGCACTACTGTAAAGAATGCTTGTCAGAAAATTTGGTAGAATGAAACAGGAAAAAAACGAAATGCTGTATCAATGGGAAATCCAATTAATGGTGGGTAGGAAGGTTATGTTTAATCTGTGCCTAGCTTTTGTATTTATATAAATGTAATAATATCTTACACACTTTTATTCTGTTTTTTCACTTAACACCAAAATAAACACGTTCACTGTAAAACATTTTTAGAATCTGCCCCCACCCCACCCGCAACTTTTTTTTGAGACTCACTCTGTCGCCCAGGCTGGAGTGCAGTGGTGTGATCTCGGCTCACTGCAACCTCTGCCTCCCAGGTTCAAGCGATTCCCCTGCCTCAACCTCCCAAGTAGCTGGGATTACAGGTGTGAGCCACCAAGGCCCGGCTAATTTTTGTATTTTTAGTAGAGATGGGGTTTCGCCATGTTGGCCAGAGTGATCTCTCAATTTTTTTTTTTTTTTTCCTTTTTTGCACCCCCGCCCTCCTCGCCCCAGGCTGATCTCAAACTTCTGACCTCAGGTGATCTGCCTGCTTTGGCCTCTCAAAATGCTGGGATTACACGTGTGAGCCACTGCGCCCGGCCCAAGTTTCAATACTATTTCCATATATTTTTAAGGAGAAACAAAATGCACAAACATTCATTTTCTGAGGTTGGTAGCATTTTCATTTTAAACCTGAAAAATGGAATCAGAATGGTAGAACTGATCACAGGTGAGAGAGTAAGACTAGGATGACTATTCTGGCTCTACCTATTGTGGAAAGGTTATGAAACCATTTCCTCTTCTGCAAAGTCGAGATACCTCATGGGATTGAGTATTAAATGAGATAATGAAGTGCAACGGCCACTATAGAGTTACGTAGTCAAGAAATATAGTTCCCTTTCAAACCAATTGTTCTGTGGCTTAATTTTTAGAATCCCAGGCTCCTTGATTTATTTAGTCAAGACATCTCACCTTTCCTAGAAAAATTATGAAGTCTCCGAAGCAGTTAATAGATGTAAGATGACTTGAATTCTTGGACAAGATTTTGACTGCATCTTTTGCTGATGTACAGAAATCTGTCCCATTAATAGCAGTTGTAGTATATGCATTCTGAAACAGAAGAGAGTTGTTTAAGAGATAATTCTTATAAGTATTGTTTTAAAGGCAATATAATGATAATACCAAGTTTACAAACCAGAAAGAGTTAAAACAAACCTATTCTCTCTACCCATAACAAATACTTTTTTCAAAGTCCTTTTCAAGCTTGCCTTAGAATTTTCATTCAGAGGTCAGATGAATTCCCTGCAAAAATGCCTTAATAGTATTCCACAAGGAGCTCTTGGTTTTGAACTTAACAGAGGATGCGTGTGAAATTTGCTTTGAAAATCTCAAACCAGCTGTTGCTGGAAAGCTGCTCCGGTTTGGGGGCTTGAGTCTCGTGCAGGGATGTGGAAACTCATTTACTCATATTATTTAACTAGGCATCTTCAATCATCTCAGGTTTTCAGAGCCCTGATGATCAATCCCTTTGACCTCAAAACACATCTGTAGGATGGGTGGGTGAAGAATAGCATAATTGTTCCTTTATAGACTGAAAACCATGATCAAAGGCATTTCCCCCAGCTCCCGTGGTGAATCCATGAGACAGAGACCTTTTTATTTCTGTTTTTTTAAATTCTAACCTTCTGGACATTACACTATCAATTTTCATTAGGAAAAAATGCGATTTAAAAGCATGGTGGTTACGGTAAGCACAGGCTCTGTAGCCAGACTGTCTCTGTGCTCAAATCCCAATTCTACCACTGACTAGCTGTTGGTCTTGGGCAAATGATCTAACCTCTCTAAGACCTCAATTTCCTCATCTATAAAATGACTTACAGCACCTACCGCAAAGGGATGTTGGGAGGATTAAAGAACATACTCCCTGTAAAACACACAGAAAATGTGTAATAAAGAGTGGTTATCATCATCCAGACATCACCAAAGATGATCTCATTTACAACTGGGAACACAGAGGCAACTCTTTAAGTATCTGGGGAGGTGTGGCAAGGGCCTGTGGTTGCTTGACCTGTAGGCTTTAATCCCTCACATCCACAGGGATCCAGGAAAGGGCTTTCAGACGGCATGCCAGTCCCCAGCATGGTCTGCTTTGCTACGGCAGCTCCACCACGTGCTGCTCAGCCTCTGTCTCTGTCTCTTCATTCGGGCTGTCTCCAGCCCACCACCCCCATCACTTTCCCACTCTAAACATCCTAAAGTGCTTTCTGCTTCCCATGGAGAAGCACTGTTTTTGTGGGGACTTCTTTTTCTGCAGACCACTGCCTCGTATTCAATTTAGCATCGTCTCTCATAAGTGATAAAAACAGATTTTGCTCTTTGGCTAAAATGATTAAGTTAAAAAGGTATTATACTTTCTCAAGCATGTGTTGAGTCCAAAGAGTTTGGGACCCATAAGCATTTATCTTTTCTTATGTATCAAGCCCACTGAAAGAGGGCATTAAAACCACTCTGATAGAGAAATTATATATGCCTTCCTGCAGGTACCATACCACTAGCATTTTGCCAGACTCAACCCTGAGTGCAACAGAGAGATCTAGAATTAATGTCTGAAAGAGCAGGGGAAGGACGGAGGAATCAGTCAAGACACAGGATATGGATTGAACATTTCTGCAGTTTCAGCATTAGCTAATTTGTACTTCTTCTGAGTAGAGGCTGCTTGTCTGGCAGCTGGAAGATGGATTGCACTAACATTTTCATCATAGCCCTTGTTCTCAACATTCAGTATTTTTCTGGGGCGACAGAACTCAGGGTTAATATGCCAAGGTAATCTGCAGACTCTAACAATATGGGGAAATGATTGGCTATAAAAAGGATTAGGAAACATGTTTTATTGGTTGTGGAAATTAATCAAGAGATCCTGAAGGCTAACCTTTAAACAAGCAAGCAGGAGGTAGTGGCGTTTGGCTTTTGATTTATTCTCAGACAAAAATTGGTATGCATACTTCTTTAGTGTCACAAAACAGCTGGGCAGATATTTCTATGTCTTGAAATTGAAGCTATAAACACACAAGATAGATACGAGGAAGGATTCCCAAGTTGGCAGTGGTAGCACCTTAATATTGGGTCCCAATTCTCATTCCCTTGCCTGGGATTAAAGACTCCCTCCAGGTACAGGAGGATTAGTTTTCAGACTTTCACGGACTGGTCACCTGGGACTGTCCCGAGTGGCTAAGCACTGAGGGAAGAGCACAATGAGGACAGCCCTGCGTGGCTGTGAGGGCTTCAAAACAATGAACTACATAGCACAAGCACACACGTGAGAGCCACAGAGAGCACAACCACAGGCTGGAGGCAAAGGGGAGGAGGAGGCCCGGCAGGAGGGATCAGGGAAGGCTTCATGGAAGTGGCATGTGAGCTGGCCCCAATGTTGCCCATCTCCAGCAGGGGAGGAGGCGGCAGCAGGAGCCAGCAAAGTGAGCTGCAGACGTGAGTGTACCAGCAGGCACTGGGGGGCCCGAGCAGATGAGAAATGGGAAACGGGTCTGGAAGAGTCAGGGGTCAGACCTCAGTGGGTGGAGCTGACACACTGGAGCAAGGGTAGTGAAAGGAAGTTTCAGGAGGACTCATGATGTTCAGCCTGTACTTCTGGGATCTCCCCCATGCTGTCCTGGGAAAGCTCAGGTCAGATCTCCCTCATCACCATCTTCTGCTGAGCCACGAAGCTCTGCACCTTCCAAGGCTCCTTCCTATTCAAGCCTAGGAGACTCCCCAAGCACCTCCACGATGCCTACAGGACCCTGCTGGAGTCGGGCACACATGCTGGGTGACCATGCAGCCATTGGGCACACCAGCTCGCCAGCAGTCATAAGCCAGGGGCTAGCACCCCAAGACCGTGAGTTCCTCTCTGGAGAAAACAGGAGTATTAGGAATAGTAACTCCTCCCAGGCACTCTGGCTCCCCTCCACCCCCACCTTGGTGGATGCCTTAGTGATATATCCCAAATGCCTTGGCACAGACCTAACGGTAGCTACAACTTCCTAGTTTGCATCTGTGGCCTTTTTCTTTTCCTGTCAGTAGGCAGGTGTGCAACTTCTGTATATGTAAATAAATAATGCTACTAAGAAATGATAATGGCACCAATCTAGCGTGAAGTGCCAGGCTCTATGCGACATCTCCCCGAATGCATTAATTCATTTAAGTCCTCTTAACTCCAACCCAATGAGGTGGTTAAGGAAACTCAACACAGAGAAGTAAAGGAGCGCGCCCCCGGTTCCACGCATGTGACAGGTGTTGCGTCTGTCCTGCATGAAGTAGAGCTCTAACTCATTCAGGCCCATCTGCAGGAAAACATTTACTTTAAGCTGTACTTTGTGCTTTTCCTCCCAAAACGTTCAAAATAGCAAAGCGGTGTTGTCATGAGATACACCCTTGAAAACAGCTGAAGTTGTGGCAAGACGGCTTAGTGGACAGAGGCTGCCTTCCAGGCATGTTGCCTTCCAAGAGTTGCCGAACCGCTTCCACCAAATCACGTCACTTCTCGAGGGCCCTCACTATGCTGCTTGGAAAAGATGTTCATCAACTCCAACAATCCATGATGCCTTATGTTTGTGCTTCATAGCCAGCCACCTTCACATCTCATTAGATCTCATCTGTTTTCACCACAACTCAGTGAAATAATCACCATGGGTGGTATTATTCCCCACCCCCTGCCTTTATTTTTTTTTTAGAGGAAGTCTCATTCTGTTGCCCAGGCTGAAGTGCAGTGATGCAATCTTGGCTCTCTGCAACCTCTGCCTCCTGTGTTCAAGCAATGAACCTGCCTCAGCCTCCTGAGTAATTGGGACTACAGGTGCCCACCACCATGCCCAGCTAAATTTTCTATTTTTAGTACAGACAGGGTTTCACCATGTTGGCCAGGCTGGTCTCCAACTCCTGATCTCATGTGATCCACCCGGCTTGGACTCCCAAAGTGTTGGGATTATAGGCGGAGCCACTGCGCCCAGCCAGTATTATTCCCATTTTATAGAAAAATCTAATTATTGAAAAAACTGAGATTTAAGTGTACTTTTAGGTAAGAGAAAATCTAGATTACCTCTTTAAGTTACTTTGAGAGTTATCCAAGAATGTTAATTGCAGCTTTAAAATAGAAAGAACTGTTTTTCACTCCCGAAGTCAAATGCTTAGCCAGCACAGCTCAGCCCTTTTCCTTCATCAGCTGAGTCTGTCCTCTCACTGAACTGAAATGCTTTCTTCTTTTGGTGGCAGAACTGTGAACCTGGATTTCTGTCAACTCTTCAAAAAGGTAAACAGAGCTTCCCTCCGTAGTGGAGGGAAAGTATTTGCCAAAACCATGCCATGAATAGCCAGCTTTATTTCTGGAACGCCTTCCTCACAGAGTTCCGATGTTTATTCTCAAAGCAAGAACTACTAAAACAAACTTGAGAAATTGGACAATGAATAAATAGCATGGGCATTCATACTTTTCTCAGAACTGAAAAAAAAAATACAGTGAAACCCGAGTCCAGATACATCCCCATACATCCAGGGGCCTTTCTTGAGCCTCCAGTAAAACTGGCAGGAACCGTCCCAGACCAGTTTCATCTTGAGCCCTGTTTTTATCACAAACACATGTGGAGTAAGGGAACGTACAGCCTCTGGGCTTTCCAAGGCCCTACATTCACCGTTCAGATCCCTTCAGGAATTCACCGGCCACCAGGATGCAAACAAACGTCCAATGAGATGGTGAAGGGGGAAACCAGCCAGTCCCCTGGGGCTGCAGCCAGGTGGGAGGTGGGACCAAAGAAGGAAGGAAGAATATGAGAGCTGCCTACACAGGGCCGTGCTGTTTTGTTTGCTCTTTTAAAACTTTTCTTTTTGCTTAATTTTTGGAATGGCTTATTATTTCCACGCTTATCATGAAAAAACAAAAAACAACACAGAGACATAGAAGCAAGAAAGTTGTGATCCCACCCCTCAGAAATGACCACTGCTAACATCGCCTGGACCTCATCCCAGCACCCTTCTGTGAATACACACAGAGGAAAAAAGGCAGGCCAGATACACTGAGCATGCACTACAATAATGAAACCATACTATCCATGATATTTTAA